ATGGGCTTTCGAATGGTGTATGAATTATTTGTGTTGTTATTACAAGTGTTGCTGTGACCCCCTAGGAAAAGGTTATGCCCCGCCCTGTATATTAGTAAATGAGTGCATAACTTCATGTTCTGTAGCATGCCAAAATGCTACCTACAAGCAGTGTAGGGAAGAACAACTTTCAGTGAACTGTGTTGAGAAATTCTTTTCAGTCATGGCTTGCTAAAGTCTGGCTTACTGAAATTTCAAAAATTGGTTGTGCTCACAAAATACACTGAACCACAAAGTGTGGTTTATACACTGCAGTAGATAGCTGTATGGCATCTATTGTAGTTTATAGTACAAAGTACATGGTAGTGCAAAATCTGTCAGACAATATGGCATTGTGTACAGAGATAAGCTAGTCTGTGACTGATTCAAATACAGATAGTCCTCAACCTTCAACAGTTCATTTAATGACCATTCAAAGTTACAATGGCACTGAAAATGTGACTTAAGACGATTTTTCAGAGTTAATGAGCTCTGCAACATCACCATGATCATGTGATTAAAATTCACATGATTTGTGATTTATAACTGGTTCATATTTATGACCGCTGTTGTGTCACAAGGTCATGTGATCACCTTTTGCGACCTACCCACAAAACAGTCAATGGGAAAGCCCGATTCATTTAACAGTCATACTAATTTATGAACTGCAGGGATTCACTTTAAGAACTATGGAAGAAAAGTTGTAAAATGGGGCAAAACTCACTTAACATAAATTCTGGGCTCAATTATCATAAGTTGAGGAGCACCTGTAATTAGCATCTAAAATTGGGGTTGTTGTCATATGAAGTGCCAAGTTTTCACTGTGTACCCATAGTAACATTTCTTTCCCAATGAAAAAGATAAACATTTCCACATATATACTGATTTTTTAAAAAGTTTTTTAAGGGTGGTGAAGTAATGCCTCAGTGTCTAAGCAAAAAAGTAATTTAAGTCAGTTTTTTAAAAATTATTATTTACCTTTGTGTCCCATTGGAGTTCTTCCACGTCATAAATAGATTAGAAGCAGTTGAATTACATGTTCCTAAATTATAGAAACAGGCAAAATTTAGTAGACTTGATTGTAGCTCTAATTCCGAGAGGGTCTTATTATCGTTCCACGTTTCTTGATCAATCTTCTTTCCAAATAATTTTTCGATCCTATACTAGAAAATAGCAAAGAAAAAAGATTACCACTGGTCAGTAGAAAAAGCTTTGTTACAATTGTGCTATGACTTCAAAATCTATAAAAAATTATGTAGAACACAGATCTGAGCAAAACCTGACTAATTCTTCTTTCCTTCTGTCAACTATTATCACAGCCTGTCTATTCAGAACTATACCAACTCCAAAGCAAGCAACAAAGACCCCATGTGTGAGAGAGATCTGCTAGACCAGGGGTGTGAAACTCAAGGCCCAGGGGCTGGATCCAGCCCACAGAGTGCTTAGATCCGGCCCGGGGGGCTGCCCTAAAACAGCAAAGGATCGACCCGCAGTGCATCTGCCAGTGAAAACAGAGCTCTGGAGGGCCGTGCGCAACCCTCCCAGGCTCTATTTTCAGTCATGATGGACTCCTACCATCCTCTGCCAGCAAAAATAGAGCTTGGAGGGCGGGCTGCGTTTGACTCCCCCTGGGCTCAGTTTTTACTGGCAGAGGGTGGCAGGAAGCCGTCACGGCTGAAAACAGCTTGGGACCCCTTTTTCGCTGGCAGAGCACAGACACCCCTGACATGAGTGACATCAAGCTGGCCATGCCCACACTGGCCCCCGAGGTCAAACATAACCCTAATGCAGCCCTCAGTGAAATCGAGTTTGACACCCCTGTGCTAGACACTCAGAATTTATTGTGTAACATTAATTTGATATGATGTGAAGGTGAATGAATTTGGACTAGAAATCCAGAATGTTACATAGAAAAAATTATGACATCACAGAACCCTATTTATTTATTGGACATATGATTTATAGTATTCCTTTCACAATCATAGTACTAGAAGAGACAGCAGTTAAAAATATTGATACCATGAAGAAATTAAAGAAACCATAAATTGTTGTTGTTGTTTATTGGATTTATATGCCGCCCTTCTCCCAAAGGACTCAGGGCAGCGTACAACTTAAAACAAAAAACAAAAAACACATATTACAAAAGTTAAAAAGGAAATTAAATAAAGTATCCAAAAACAAACCCAATTAATATTAACAATAAAAATTTAAAAATTAGATTAAAATTAACAATTAAATTAATCATTTATTCTGTTTTGTTCAGGCCAGGCTGGCTTGCTGGAAAAGCCAACTTTTTAGGGCGCGTCGGAAGGACCGGAGGTCGGGGATTATGCGAAGCTCTGGGAGCATTTCAGAGGGAAG